CAAATTCCCAGTAAAGCTGTTCTCATTTACATACTCCTCTGTTTCTGTTGTCAGGCAGCAGAACCAGTATGAAATAGTGACCCAGTGAGACCACATGTGAACCAGCAGTCCCTTCAGAGCCGTTTCTGAGCTGCAGCTAACATTCTGATTTTACAACCGTAACGTCATCTGACAAACTCACCAAACACATGAGTTTAAAACAATGCCTGTGCTCTGAATTCAAAACCATTTGCATGTAAAATAATCGCTGAGAGAGAAAGTTAGATGCAATAGAAACAGTCATTCACACCTGTTGTGGTAGAACAGAACTAAAACCAGGAGTTAAACAGTCATGGTGACATAAACCGGCAGGATTCTGAGCTGAAGACATGCGAGACTTTGGGTGAATTTGCTGAAAAGTGGGGACAATGTGGGACCTTTAAGTCCTGCAGCAAGATCTACTGAAATGAAACTCTATAAAGTTTTTGTTTTGGAAATTAAGTTCATATTGTTCTCATTAAACTGCACTAATAAAGGTCTCCTGCACAGATGACCACTGAAGATAACCAGCTAATCATGCACGACTCTAGTGCTGGAAACAGTCGAACACATTTGGAACTAACTGATGAAACCTGCAGCGATGGAGAAACCTGTGACTTTAGTGGCTCCTAGACAGTGTTCAATAATCGTATTTCCTCTTGAGACTAAAGCTGTTGTCCTCTTTAAACCAAACATGTGTTATTTAGTGAAACATCCAGACTGATGCTGCTGTAGCTTCATGACGCTGCAGGTTCCTGTTGTGTTGGTGCAGCATCACATCCTGTGTACTGAGAAGTGATCTTAATATTTACAGGTACTTTATATACAACTATGTGTGTCACCCTGCACGGTCACTTGAGAAGAAGTTCTGCTTTGACATTCCTGCAGCTCCGTGTGGAGAAACGCTCCTGTTTCTTCTGTTTTGGCTGCGGATGAGAGCTCAAGGTTAGAAAACTGCAGAAGCTCAGATGAACGGTCTCGGCCTCGGCTGAGCACGAAGGCGACTGTGGCAGAGTTCACTGGGAGGCCACGTGGTCGCTTCCCCGCATCGTAGGAAACTGGAGACGGCCTGCATGTTGCTGCTGCCTCGTTCATCACAGGACGCACTTTAACCGTAAAACAAAACCTGCTAAAAAGGGGTGAAGCACGTCAAATATGAAGCGAGACAAAGGAGATGCCCGAAGGGATACAGTTACACTCAGTTACAAAGGAAGAGGGCGTTTTAGATGAAAAAAAGAGTTCGGCTGGTATGGAGTGATTAACACTGAACGATGTCCTGACATGCTGATGAGGTTGGTCTCCCTGAAGCAGGAGGAGGAATCAGAAAGGATGGGAGGAAATGAGGAAAAAGTGAGTAAGGTAGAGTTAAAGGGGAGAGAGGATGACGTGATGACAAAAGAATGGAAAATATAGAAGGTGGATTTGACTCTGATTTATATATTTTTCTACTCTTTATAGTTGTGTAATCATCCTTAATTGCCGAATTTTTTTTGCATTGATAAATAAAGTCTTGAATCTTTTTGACTGGATGCAAAACATCCTCATGTTGTGGCAGCACCTGAACATGCTTCTGTTTTCAGATTATTCAATTATTTTACAGTCATGAACCCAAAAAAATCAAGTAAAATTTAGTGAAGAGTAAAAGAAATAAAACCTTCCCAGATTTAATTAAGTTTAGTTTTGTTCCTGTCATGTTCTCTGCAGCAGTAAATCTATTTGACATCTACGTCTGTATTATGTTAAATCAGGATGCAATGTGCCAGAGTTGTTATAAAATCACTGTAAGCTCTATTAGAAGGTCAAGATGTGTGAGTTTTGGGAACTTCAGAGCATTAAACTAAACGTAGACACAACCTGTTTTAATAAGACTCGTGATGTATTCAAGGATTCAAGGATTCAAGGTTCTTTATTGTCACAGCAGCACACGTTTCCACATGAGATGGCATGAAATTAGCAGGTCCTGGTTGAGAGCTCATAGAAATAAATAAATAAAGATAAGGAATAAATTAAATTGAACAGATACATAGGCATGTGTGCAAAATGCAGTTGTCTGGTTATAAGTGGGCTGTGTGGAGATGCAGTCAGTGATTTTAACATATTGTGATAAATCAATATAAATGTACATTAACAGCATAATATGAGACTTAATTGTGAGACATCTGCACAATCAGATTGTTTTGGATGTTTTGCAAGCACAACCAGTCAAATGAAGATTCAAGATTTTATTTATTAATCCAAAAATTTTGCAATTAATGATTATACAACTATAGAGTTAAAAAAAACAAAAAAACAAAAAACCCTAAAATTACTTTTGCAACTTTTAGTTTGATTTATTTTGTTATCTGGGGGAAGCAGGTGGAACTAGGGATCCAAACATCCACTGGTCAGAAAATATTCCGACTCATGAGTCATTCGTGCTAATTTAAGTGGAAATTTCAACATTCTGAATCTTAATTGTTTTAAGTTTGTCAGTAAATTTCAGAAATATGATCTGGCAGAGGGTTGAACATAACCTTCTGACCCCAAAGGCCACTTTGAAAGGTAAGATTTCTTTGAAAATAGAAAAATAGCACCATTTATCAGAGAAAAAAACCCAGTAAAAACAAAAAAAGGTCAGACTTCCTGATAGTCTGTGAATAAACGTGATTAGGTTAATTTTATCTACTGTGATCTTAGATATAAGGTTTCTTTTCTTTTCCGACAGTGAGTCCTCAGAAATGTTCCTGAGGAAGACTGAAGTGATGGTCGATTTCAAAAAGCTAAAACAGCTCTTTTCTAAATAACTCACTGTCTGGTAAGAAAATAAATCTTATATCCAAAACAAAGTTAAGCTTAAGAATATATCTCATCAAAAAATTTAAATTTACATGTCAAAAATTCAGTACAAATCATTTTCACCAGATTCTGTAAAAGCAACAAATTCTGTGCTCCTCACAGAGCAGAGAGGACACAAGTTTAAAAAAAATAGAGAGACTGAGAGGAAAATAAAACATACTTGAGCTATAAATTGAAAGCAGCATGGTTTAAAAACAGTGTACTTGTTGTAAGTTGTCAACAAGTTGTTGGAACATTCAGCAGGTGAAACATCTTTGTAGGTTTGGTGCAGATGGAAAAGTGAAGAAGTTGCAATAATTTAAATAAATTTAGTCAAAGAGCCATTTTTACCCAACTTTAGTGACACCTGTGGGTGCTAGTAGTACTAACAATAAGAACAACAGTTGACCAAAAAAATTCAACTTTAGTCTTTCACTTTTTAAAAAAAAATGATTTATGGCATTATGCTTGTGTTTTGGGCATTTCTGCGTTTCTTCTACTTCTAGTCATGGTTGTGCTCTTTCTATAGAGGTGCAGGACTTTATATTGCAGGAACAATGAGCTCACAGTGACTAAAAATGAATGAAAAAAAAAAGAGTAAGAAGTGTTCAGAAACTGCTTGGAGTTCAGAAGGTTAAACTGGAGGGTTTATGTGGCACAGATCTGTGCCAGCAGACCACCTGGGCATCCTTTATATAATATAAAACCCCCTAGTCCATGCTGGAGTGTTGTCATGGCTTGAAATTACAATAAATCTAGAAGCAGGTAATGAATTAAAGTAAAAAAAAAAGAGCTTTTAATCAAAATAATGACAACTCACGAGCCTGCAGAACAGCTTCTTATCTTCGGATTTCCACGTGTCTGAGCTCCACTGAAGGGATGAACACTCTTCGTCCAAACCATATGCCCTTATTTTAAGCTTTCACGGTGGCTGCAGAGCTCTGTATATCCAACATTTCCCCCCTATAGATATTCGGCTAAGCTCTGGAGACTGTGAAGGCCACAACACATGTTTCACATCATTTCCAAACCAACACTGGAGCCCTGCAGCTATGGAAGCATCTGTATTTGTTAAGTCTCTATTATTTATTCAGGTTTTTCTTTAATTTAATTTACGCAGCTCAAAAAGTGCCAAATGCAAAATTCTACAGTTTCTGAAGCTAAAGGCATAACTGGTTATTATTGTTTTTAATTCATTTCCTTTAAAATCAAATCGAATTTTTAGTTAGTGTTGTTTTTGCACTGTGTGCTTTTGTTGTTGTTTGTAGCTTCACGTGCTTTTGACTGTGTTCTGTGAAGCACTTTGGGAATAAAAGGTGCTGTAGAGGTGACTTAGTTTTGCTTTTTCAATTTATTTTATTGTATTTATTGTACTTATTACAGCAGGATTATCATAAAATCTTTTTCTTTTGATGTAAACATCTCATGTTTACCAGATTTCTAACATATGCATCCTGTAGAACACTCCTCCTTCTGATCTGTTGGCACAAAACAAACCTCAGTCCTCAAAATGTTCATCCAATTATTCCACCAGTTTGATTGTAAACAGCAGAGAAACCGTCAAGCTGGAGCTGTTCTCACTGTGCAGCACACGTTTGCTTTTGACTGAGACACCTTTCCGTGCCAGTGTGAAGGTGTTTCCACTTAAAGTTGGTGTTGCAGCACAAAGGTGAAGCCTGGAGATCTCTGCGGTGACGCGGTGCGCGCGGAGGAGCTGCTGCGCTCTGATTGGACGAGAGAGGCGCGTTCCCCGCAGGAATGCAGCGCTCAGGTGGAGGGAGAGTCAGAGAGGGAGGGAGAGAGAAGGGGGAGACGCCGACACACCGACACCAGCTCTCAGAACGCCCGCTGGACCAGTGGAGCTGCCGGCGGCCCTGCGCGCTCCTCACCGGTCGGTTCTGACGCACCGTGCGCGCTTTGGACCTGTTTGGATCGAGAGAAAGGTCGAAGGGAAAAAAGAGAGGACGCGGCTTCTGGAGCTACCTGCTGCTACCACAGTGGAGTTACCCGCTCAGGACTGAAGTACAAACCACCTGCGACAGTGTGGATGAATTCATCTGTGGCCTCCAGCTGATGGGAAAAACCTGCTTTGTGCCAAGAAACTCTCCAAGGTGCGTCTTGTTTCCACACTTTACTTGTCCCTAAAAAACAAACCTGCTGTGATGCGTTTTGGGAACTGAGGAACACAGCTGTGTGGAGCCCTGCAGCTGAGAGAGAACACAGTTGATTTAAAACTTTTAAAAAAACAGGAGAAGAGGACGAATAAAAGCTGCAGGACGGAGCTGGATATGGATGGTGTCGTTGGATCGCCGCAGCCTGCAGCTGGGACGCGCTGTGCGTCTGAGCCGCGACGTTTCACATCATGATACGTGATCAAAACTGCACCTGACCGCGAATGTAACAGTACCTGAGGCCAATCCACACGGATCTACTATGTCCTCAGCACAGAGCAGGTAAGCAAAGCGGAGTTTTCTGGCTTGTTTACAGGAGAAGTGACTTTAAAAAGAAGAGTCCAGCTTTGATGGGAGGTGACAAATTCCAGAGGCAGCATGTGGAGGCTGTTTGTGCTCTGATTGAGTTGCATTTTCAGGCAGGAAAATATGTGGTGGCTTTAAATATTTACTTGCTTGTGAGGAACTGCAACGTTTTTCTTTTGCAGTCCAGTGATGGATGGGAGGTGATAAATTCCAGGGACAGTCGAAGTTTTCTCTCCCAGTTTGAAGCCTGTTTGTTCTGCGGTTTGCCTCATTTCAGCAATTGCAGGGAAAATATGTGGTTCTGGACAGTTGTTTTTGATGCATGTTTGCTAGATTCCCCCTTGTTTCGTGCATCATTTGGCTAAGAGAAACCTGACTCAGATGATCCTGGATGTTTTGCTCTGGGGGGCAGAAGTCCTTTCCAGCCTGCTGCGGGCGACTCCCTGCCAGCGGGTGAGGTAATCCTCCTGCCATATCTGTGATATTGCAACTCCTGACTCCACATTCCACACATCCTGCTGCACCACCTTTATCTCCTAAATGTCACCGCCTATAAATACCCGGCTCATATTTGATCTAATCCCATCGCTGCAACAGGGAACACAAACACAGGAGGGGGACTGCACGGCCACTCCAGATCTTCCTAAATCCACGATTACTCTTTAGCTCTGATTTCAAAGTGTGTAGGGTTTTTTTTTGCTTTTTTTACAAGCTGCATTTGATGTAAAGTGTCAGCAGAGACGTGCAGGATGGACCACAGTGTGCAGAGAGATTTGGCTCAGGGCACATTTTCTGTCTCCCCGATAACTCTTTGGAGGAATGTTTGTTTGGGAGCCTCATGAACAGATTTAATCTACTTAACATGGAACACTGAGCATATAGCTTCAAAACGAGGACTCTAATTTGGTGTTACACGCAATGATGTCACTCTCTCCTGCAGGGAGGAATTTCAATCCCTTTTTTTTCTTCTTCCCTGAGCGCTGCAGAAGGACATCAGTGTTCTAAAAAAAAAGTGACCCTTTGTTAACAGCACTGACTGTTTCCTCCACAAAGTTTCCTTTTCTAATAAAAAATTACTTTAGTTTTGCACAGGCCAAAACAAAAGGAAGTGCATTCTTGTCCTTCATCTCTCGCAGATGTACCATCGCAGGTAATCGGCCCCAGATGTGTGTACGCAGCTTCTGATCCGTAATACAGTCAGAATGTAGCTTTTAAGGATTTAAAGTCATGGAAGCACGCTGAGGCTCTCTCAAGGTAAAAATCATTCACCCACGAGTACAAAAACCTCTAATGTCTGTCGGTTTGCCTCTAAATGCTGTCATCGCCTGTAAACTTTGGACCGTATTAGAGAAGAAGTCAACCAAAGACACAAATCAGTGCCGAAGCAGATTCTGAATTCATCATTGTTTTAGCTGGGAGGTCAATACAGCTGCCAAACACATCTGCAACTCATGATTATTGTCAGTGCAGGCTTTAGTTGAGTTTTTTTGGTCTATTAAATGTCAGAAAGTGGTGAAAAATGTTCGCAAATGTCGGATTTTGTTCACAACCTGAAGGTTGATTTGTTTTTTGTCTTATAATAGGAAAGAAATCAGAAAATATTCACATTTAAGGAGCTGGAATCACAGAAATTCTGCATTATTTGATAAAAAAACAACTCAAATGAATTAAATTATCAAAATATTCAGTTATAAAGTTAATAGTTGACACGGTCTGTGTCTTTTAAGCTGTCTGTGGATGCTTCATGTCAGCATACACCTAGAAACATCAATCAAAGCTTTTCTCTTCCGATACCTGAGGCCAAGCTGCTGATCAGTTTTATGATTCCAGCTTTTTCTCTTAAGATATGATTTATAATGTCATACAACCACGGCTTCTACGGTGGAAACGCATTTAGATTCACACCCTGTGTCACCTGGTGTGTCAATTTTGAGTTTTCTTTGACAGAAAAGAAGTTTCTGCTATAAATTCTTGCACAAAAACAACTAATTGCTGCATAAAGATTCACCAGAAAGCAGGAAATGACACTTTTCCTGGATTATGTCAAGTGTCCTCATTAACTGCTGCTGTGACTTTTAAATCACAGAGCCTGATATCCGTCTCTTTTACTGAACTGTCAGTTGCTTCACACTGTCAGTGCAGACAATAAACAGGACGTTTTCTTCTCTGAACCCAGTGCACCTGAAATGACCTCCTCCGATCGGTAACATGTGCTTCGTCTTTGCCACTTTAGGTTAAATGCAGCAGTTTTAGGAAGGAGGTTACTTCCAAAAAGGGTACAGAGTGAAGTCACAGCAGCAGGATTTTTTACGTAAAGTTACAGTTACGGTCAGTGATGTGGTCGGATTTTAGCAAACAAACTTCATGAAGCAGTGCAGAGGTCCAGAAGCCAAAGAGTTCAGTCAAGAAGCAAACAGTGACAATTCAGACACAATGTGACAAACAGCTGCACAAAGTTTAGACTAAAATGCTGCTACTCAGTCATCAACCTGTTGTCATCAGCAGGTAAACCTCTGCTCTGCCTTCACCACAGCGTCTGGAGACAGTCCAGCCTTCACTAGATTTATTGGGAAAGCCACATAAAGAGGCGACCTGATGGTGTTTATGGTGCATACCTCAAGAGTATAAAAGCTGTTAGATTCCAGGTTGGTCAGACCTTTTCTGCAGGTCATTCCCCTCCTCTTCCCTCCATATCTCTTGTCTGTTTCTGCTGCTTTTGTCCTATAAAAGCAATTTGCCATAAAATCCCCATAAATCGTTAAAACGAAGGTGGAAACACGGGTCAGAGTTGCAAGCTGTGTTTCCGCAATGTATCTGTAAAGTTATAAAGATGCCAACATTTGAGAAAAACTTCATTTTGCAAAAATTTTGCTCACTTGAAGTGGTTTGGACATTTTTCAAAAGGTTAATGACCCTCATGAAAGATGGAAACACCAAACTGTTCAGAACTGAAGAAGCCTCAAACACCTTCAAGAGCCTAAAAGAAAAGTCAAGTTGCTTTCTAGGACCTTCACTAAACAGATTAATGGTTATTAATGATCAGCTCGTTTCTTTGTTGTTTTTGCTTAAAACATGACCAACAGCAGTTAATATGAAGTAAAAATTTCAACTTTCCTGACTGAAAATAACTCTTGAAGACTTTTTTTCTCCTTTGTTTTAATTTATTTTTGTTGATAGCCAATGTTTAGTTTGTTTCCACAGTTTCTGGCTTCTTCTACTCTCTTTATTCCAGCCGTGCCGCCCACAGCGCCACCTTCTGACGACACTACACCGCCTGGTTTACACACTTCAAACAAACCTAATTCACATTTTCTTCTTTTGTAATTTATTTATTTTTGCTGCATTTCAAAAGCTTGCTGTAAATTCTCTTGACACTTATATGGAAACACGGATGAACCTTCAACCTGCAGAGATCACAGTCAGGAATCCACTCAATGATTTATTAGAAAAGTCACATAAAAGATTGGTTGGGGGGAATATTACCTCGGTGCGAGTCCCTGATTTAATTCCCAGCTGTCCCGACCCTTTCTGCATTTCATTCTCCTGCTTTTTTTCTTCATATGTGTCCTGTAATACCTACTGGTCCTATCAAAATAAAAGCAAAATGCCCCCAAAAATAATCTTGAAAACGGAAATGTCAGAAGTTTCCATCATGCAAAACCCACATTTCCACCAGTCAGAGTCACAGACGGTGATCAAACCACAGCAGTTTCTGAACTTTATCCCTCCAAGTCATGTTCTGCCACCATCTCATCCCCCCAAATAATGTTTCCAGGTCGCTTTGAACCAGATCCTGAACTTGTCTGTCTCATGTTTGCAGTCAGACGGTGATATATGACTGATGTGCAGTTTCAAGGTTCAGTCCGATAAGACTTTACTGCTCCGTGTTTGTGTCTCTGTGCACGAAGCCGATGAAAAGCTCCCACTTTACCGTCTGAGGGCCTTGTTTCCAAAGAGGATTAGGGCTGCGTTTTAACCAATTTAGAGTGCTCCTTTGTCTGTCAGCAGGATGTTTTAAAAACCCCTCGTGAAAGAATTTCCATGAAATTTGATGGACACATCGGCTTCGCGCCAGGGAACAATTGATTTGGTTTTGGTGGTGATCCAGATCTGGGATTTCTGCCATTGGACCATTAGAGGGTTTTTTTTTTAGCTGTAATTATGAATCTGATGGAGACAGAAAACTTGACTCCCAACCCTGCAGATACATGCGCAGGTTCAAGGGGTTTTTATTTAGAGCCAAAGTGTTGAAGAACCAATGACATGTCTGCTTGTCTGTCATTTAAAAAAAAAAAATCAGAACATCACTTGTGTTCACCTCGGCACATTTCTCGTGTTTCGAGACCACGACTGTAGATGACCTGAGAGGCTCTGCTTCAGTCAAAAGATAATCTCATAATCCCCGAGGTATGACGCTCTACCAAGTTTGTTCTCCCCGTCGTGGAAGGAGCGGGTGAAGTGAAGTGAAGTGAAGCAAAGCAAAGGGAAGGGAAGGGACCGGATTGAGCAAGAGTCTAGACTTTTTGGCTGCAACAAAACCAACAACATTCATTTCGTCATTTGCCCGCAATCCTCCTCTGGGTGTTTTGTCACGACACACACAAAGGCATTTCAATTTTCTTTTTCTCCCAAAGTGTTTTACTGCGTCGTCGAGCGGAGCAGCTGCCGAATCACAAAGACCCTCCGAAGAGGCTTGTGTTGTGGCTGATTGTTGCCGCCTCATTCAGACCTTCGGGGGTCAGCGCTGACCGCCGAGGCCTCACATCTGTTAGAGGTTACGTCGGCTCTTTTCAGCGGCGAGCTCCATGTAGCCGTCGGACCCTCCACCAGGCATTCCCAAACGCTGGGTGGGGTCGCGGCTAAATCTCCCTTCAGGTCAGAGGTCAAGGCCAGGCCCCCACTCGGAAGACGTGTTGCTTTTCCAAACTCGGTGGGTGTGCAGACGTGGAGCACTTAAAGCGGCAGAGATGGTCGGTCAGGTGTCGACTCGCACCTTCCTCCTCCTCCGGGTCAAAGGACGCATTCTCACCTGCGGCGCCGTCGAGAGGTGGGAAGTCGACGTAATTGCGCGATAACGGTTGTTTATTTGTGCAGGGTGGGAACGCTGCAGCGACCTGTGTGTCGGGGCGTGTTGAGGAAAGGTCTGTGAGTTCAGCCACGTTATGGAGGATTTATAGGTGCAGGTGGGGAGAGCAGGTTGTGTTACCTCGTGTTACAGCAGCTGGTCGACAGATTTCAACCTCATGTTTCCATTGATCTGTTCACTATTACCTTAATTAGTCAATTAGCTGTTTGGTCTAAAATTGTCATCAACTGTCCTGTTTCATCCACAGTCCAAAGATACTGAGTTTACTGTCAAAGAGAAGGAAAAAACAGAAAATATTCACATTTAAAGGGCAAGAATCAGAGAATTTGTACTTTGCTTCCTTTAAAAAATGGTGATCGATTGTCACAATAGTTGACAACTGATATAATAGCCAACAGCTGATTGATTAACCCTTGCAGCACTGATAAAATGTCTGAAAAATCTACATCCAGATGCCACTTTGCATTCAGATTGGTGCTGTTGTTCAAAAGCCAGAGTTAAAATTAACAGAGAGAAGCTAAAAATGTTTGCTATATTGATTATTGTATAGCTTATTGTCTAATTTCTGTTTTATTGTCATCGTG